CTTTAAAGCTTACCATATTTTTTACGAGATATTACAGGACAGTAATGGAATTAAGTTCTTACACCATCAAAGATATTTTGATTGGATATTAGCATTAAAAGTATTCAGGAACAAATATCGTCTGCGATAATTGCTGCTATTATCAAGGATGCGCCAAACTGATATTTGTTAATAGGGAAACAGTTGCTTATTCGTTAAGATAGGACCTTTTACATATTTGAAAAGTAGTAATAAACATCTTTTTATTATAAGGTATCAAAAAAACAATGCCATTTTTCTTCTAATCAATCATTTTAAATCGTGATTCAATTAGTTGGTTACAGTTGGGAGACCAAAATATCGCGGGATTTTTTCATGCTCTCAGAAGTCTTTGGTAATACTAATAACAGGTGTATAGTGCGGGGCAAATGTTTTGGCAATTTGGGTAAACCAAGCCAAAATGAAATCCTGTACTGTGTCTTGTCTTGCTGAATTGTTCAAGCTGATAATCTTCCTGATTAGTTCATTATTAGTAATTGTAAAGTGGTTATGTACTTATCCACAACATTTATCAGTGATACTTGTGGATTCTGTTGATTAGACATTCATACGAAAGTAGATTAGACGCTTAAATTGATTGCAGCAAAATATTAGTGATAATAAGAGGGAAATATTAATTCCATATAGCATTAATATATCACCACTAACAAATTATGGGAATTTTGTGAACGGATGTTTCAATTTTGTTATAGTTTAGAATAATAGATCATTTTGGTGTAGTATTTTCAGGAGCAGATAGAACATTACCGTTGCACAACAAATTACTCCAGTCTGCCAAACGATTTCATTATGAACAAATTCTGCTTTTGGTGCCGAAACGCTGTTTTTGATTTCCGTTGCGGTAGTAGAAATTTTCCTTGGAGGACTTATCCTTAAATATATCTTATAAACATAACTGTAAACTATAGTTGAAGAAAAAATTGAGCTGGAAAAAATTTTTCCACATTCCTTATAACTGAATTTACAACTTTGAATAATCCTGGCACTTATTGGTGATAAGAATTGCATTTAACCTATGAAATGTTGAGGTATTAACATTTTATGAGTTAAATGCAGTTCATTAAATGAAATCATAAATCATCAATTTAAATATCATTTTCCGTAGTACATCGAAAAATATTGCGTGAATCGTTATTGAATTTGGAAATTCAATTTATTACTTCGTTTAAAAACAATTGAAAGGATTTTCACGGCTTTTGAAAAATGGTATTTAAATTCACTTGAGGTTCCTATAAACGTTTATCAGCATTTAATCAAGTTAAATGTTAACACAAACAGTTAAATTGTTAACCTCTCTGTCGATACAAATGTTCGCACCGCGGACTTTGCTTTGCCCCGACATACTTTTTCTGATACAAGCACAATCTGATGAGTTGGGAGATTGTCTGCTGTACACATATGGTTCATATTCGGCTGCACTAAATCCATGAAAATGATGTTTACTAAATGTGACGATACCTCTTTCAAAGTTCTTTTTTTTAATTGGCTTATTTGCATTTGATTTTTTTCTCCACTTAATTTTTGATTCAATGTCCAATAACTTTTGACTTCCAAAAAAGAATTCCAGCGTTAGATGAATTGAAAACTCAAATGATTCATTCTTTTTCTCATCGTTTTGTCGAATTACTTAACAAGTAAAACTACTTTTACCAATATATTTTGCGTTGTCTTCACCAAGCAGTTTCCCCATTGCTGTATAGATTCGAATGGATATGAGCAACTTAGCGGATTCAACTTTAATCCAACTTTGACAATCTTTAGGAATTTGCCAGGAAAGGATACATTTACCACTTCTAAATGCCGGCACTAACCCCTTTCCGCTGGGTAAAGCCTGCAAATAAATTAATTCACAAAGTTGAACAGAACAATCTTAAGAGCTCGAGAATGACCTCAACTAACCGTAATGCACTTGTTATTTGTCTTCAACTTCCAAACAACTTGCCGTTTGCTGTTGTTGACAAGCTTTAGCTGAACGTATGCAACGTCTTCATGGAAGCGATCTAGCGCAAAATTGATCGTCCTGCAATACAATTGTGTTTTTTTTTCTGCAGTTGCAGTTTAACATGTTACTTTGAATGCAAAGTTCGATGCTAACATGAGTATGTCATGCTAACATGTTCGATGCTAACATGAATATTGATTTATATTTAGGAAAAGCATCCAAAATGAAAACCTGTACCGAGCAGTCTTCACTGAGTTATGGGATAGTGAAAGTCGAGGCGTTAGTTTATTGAGCAGCTGTGATTCATTACTGTTACCATTACTGAAATCTATTTTTTGTGAATTTTTATGTCTCGAAGATCTTTGAAATTGAACCATTCTTAGATTTATTCCTTTTTCTCTTAGCTAAATTGCGATTTTTTTGCAGTCAATATAAAGAAGGTAAATTAATAAGTTGTGAAAAGTTGACGAAAACTGACATTTCAGTGACTTTAAGTGCCGTTTGCAACGATTGTTCTGAATGACTGGAATTTAGTGCTGAATCCTCAGAACTAAATATTAAGTTATGCACAGGTGGATTCTCTGGTATGCAAAATTCGTTCATATCCAACTGTGCTACAATATGATTGTTCGATCGATTTTTGGAAATTTTACTGAGTATCTTGCTTGATTCATACAAAATTCTTTTATTTGATTAAATGGAGAAAATTCTCGATAATCACATTTTACAACACAGAATGATAGTAAAGATCGATTTAAATTCCATTCTATGCAAATTTCAGATACTGCTTATCTATAGAATATCACAAAAAAACTAAAATCAATTACCCCAAAGTTTGATATCAGCTGATCCGATAAAATCATTACTGTTTGCGAAGAGATGAAGGGAAAAGAGCAATTTGACAGAATCAATTTGCTGCCATGTCTCTATGTAATTCGGACGAATCCATGTTAGCATACATTTCTCTTCGTTATAAGGCATAATTTGTCCGTTGCCAGATGGAAATGCCTTTAAAATTGCAACTACTGTTAGCAAACTCCTATATATGAAAACTTTTTCTAAGATTTTTTACTTTTTGCAACTCATTGATCACTCGGAGAATCTCAAAGAATCTCCTTGTATCTATTTTTATAATAGAATGAAAGAGATCGAGAAGCATTCGATCATCACTCATCCCCAAAAATGTTACAGTTATTGCTGCTGTCGTGCAACGTAACTTCCATTCGATTAAATTCGGAGTATCATTAACAAGTGAGAGCAGAACGCGCCCAACTCGATCATTGTTCCATTCACATGCAAATCTGATAGTACTGGAATTCCCACAATGTCATCAGTGATAAGATTATGTCATGTATCCTCCATCACACATATTCATGTTTCATATGCATTGATGGTTGTATTTCTAGATACTAATCACGTTTACTTGAATATGCAAAGTTTGGGGTTATGACGTGGAGTACGTAAATGAACCAGTAAGGTATGAGTATTCTTAAGCATATTCTATTCAATCTTTTTGGAAAAGTTAGCTCAAATTAGAAAGGATTTTGAGAAACGAGTATTCTTACCATTCTTTGTCAACTGATATAATTTCATAATCTGATTCAGTTTGCAGCTCTTCAATTGGTAACTCATGACTTTCCAAGGCTGCATCATTGACCACCTTCGAATATGACCTGCAATCTTCTGAACCGTTATTTCACTCTACATCTTCAGACCGTAAATTTTAATCAAATGATGTCTCACAATAACTGTACCATTTAAATTTCTTGCTGCTATAAATAAACAGTACTGTATAACATGAAATCAATCCATTATTTATTCCTTTCAAGCTAAAAATATAGTGACCTGATTTGTAATATTAGTTTGAAGAGACTAATTATCCAATTGTCTTAATAACATTAAAAATTGGAAACAAACGTACGTGACGTCAACCATTATCCCAATTAAATGAAAGCAATGTATAACCTCTTTGTTTATAAACTGACGAATAAAATAATCGAAGTTACTTTTAATTTTTTTTATCCACCGACAATCCAAAAAAATAACTTCTGAATATGCAAATTTCATTATTCTATACTCATAAGAATACAGTTACGAGATATATATAACCATATTATATATGGGTGTTAATGGATAGTTCCACATATGAAAGCTTCAGTACCACTTTCAAAGTTTGTACAGCAAAGATGTAAAAGATCTTAAGAAAGGATATATTAGTTAGAAATTTATACGAGTTTTATTACTCTCACAAATCAACACTGTTGCTAAATTTTACAGCGTTTGCTTTTCCAACATTTTTGTTACCGACTGATCTACAGAAGTTAATTAACCCTGAACCTTGTTAGAAATCAAAGAGGAGTTTGTCAAATTTTTCATTATGAAGATTCTTGTCATAAAGTTAGCGATGTGGTTATGCATAATATTGAAGCTTAGAGATGGGAACATAGCAGTGAAGGCAGAAAATCGTAAGGATTCTGAAGAGGTTGGAAAAGGATGAAACATTTCGTATGATTTACCTTCATTGTCTTCAAATGTTCTTTATGTGTTTTAAACAGTTTCATTGATAAATAATAATAATTTTATCCAAAAAAAGAGATGGAAGGAGAAGCAATTGGTATTCTTTTCGGATTTCTTCTGGAAATATCACAGGTCGGTTTTAAGTTAAAAGGACTTTTTTCAACAGCTTCCGTTTTGAACTGGAACTAACGGAATATGAATGGAATCGTATTCTGATATTCATCAGCATTCTAGCGTTCACAAAAAATAACGCATTATAGAATCAAGCATATTGCAGAAAGCACATACCCTATTAAAATATTTTAGTTCATAATTAGGATTTGGGATCCCTAGTTTTATCAATCCAGTCTGATCCACGGGGTTTTATTATTGATAGGATAATTCTGGAGATTTACTTTCAACCAGTAAATTCAATATTAAAATACTGTTAAGTCATTATACCTAAGACTGGCTAGTTAATAACGATGCTATAGTATGAATCTCTTTGGGGAATGGTGATGATCGTCGGTGATCGTCATATCGGAAATGCATCAAACTACTGTTATTGTTAAAATTTTAAATAGGTAACTTATCTGATGCAGGAGACATTTATTTGTACCAAATAGGTTTACTCACATTGAATACACCTTCTAGTTGCACTCTGTTCTGATTTGCTTTATATTCTCTTTTCAATTTCGACAAAAAAAAAATAGACTTTTATGCAAATTTAAAGCATAATTCAAGAAGATATTTCTACAGGTTTCTAAGGACCTAATGAAATAGATTAACACAGGACTAATCTGCAGCAAGCTTGCATTCTGTTACTAAAAATAGCAAGTGTACTTCGGATATGCAGCAAATAAATTCTCCCTTGTGATTTTTTTTTGTCTCAAATATCTTTTTCATAATATCAAGATAATTTGAATCATACCGATCAATAGAGGAATAAGATAACAATGAAAATTGATAGAATTTATAAGTGATAAGTTATAAAATCGATAATGCGTTACCAAGCGTAGAAATTGGGAGAAGTGTTGTAAGGTAGGGATAGCTAAATAAATATGAGCAAATGCATATATACTGAAATATATAAATGTAAATATTGTGTAGGAATCGATAATTGATGAATAGAACAAAAGTGAAAATGAGGGAAATGTTGAGCTTCTGTAATGATTGCTGTTAAACTTATTCTTCTCTTTCATAATTCATATTCGGACCTGAAATCGATTGGAGATTCAGAAAATGATCAGTTACTGTCAATTTATTGCAATTATTTTCTCCACATTAATGAAGTATAATCAAAGTACTACTGCATATTCTTTAAATTCACTTTGTACAATGCCGTTATGTTTACTGTATAAGCAATATCATACAGTCTAAAATATTCTTATTTCAATCAGTACCTATGCGACAGCATTTAATACGAATCCTATCTTGACCCAAACGACGATTTCTTATCAGATGCTCAAAATCAGTCTTAATTGAGGACTTTAATAAGTGGTACTACATTTCATTTACCAGAGCTTCTCTTACGTAAGCAACGTGAGCACATTTAAGGTCACATTTAACGTTAAAGATTATCGAGAAACGTTTTACTTACAAAGATTGTACTTTTTTATCGAAATTATGAAATGTATTGTATTAATTCTTCCATTTTAATGTGGTCACTCATTTGATTATCTTCTCATTGAATAGCTCTTTCGTCTTCTATTCTTAACTAATTTGTTCCTTATTTATTTATCAACTAAGTTTGGTAACTTCATAAGTGAATTGCAGAAAATACTAGAAGATAATACAGTACTTGTAACTTAAAATGATTGAACGGAATCACTTTGTTATGTTGTGTTGCTATTATTTATTCCGGACAGCTTGAATTGAAATCAGTTATTGATGGATAGTAGATCCACTTGTTGAGTTAGTTTTCCGAGAAATAAAAGGATGTTATCCAGTTAGAACATTTTGTTCATTGACTGCTCTCCTACAAGGTCATTTATCGAATCCAAGGAACACGAGGTTCCTCATTGGGATACCATGGTGTAATAGGGAAGGTGTTACGCATTGTCCTTGCTCCTCTCGGAGCCCATGGATCAGGGAAGACTTTTTCAGCAGCTTCGTCATACAAATCCTCAGCACTTGAATGTGCTGAAAGAAATCGCCTGCCAAAGATCTGTTCATTTGCTACGGAAGCTCGACGCAGAACCTTATAGATGAAATAAACCGGTTCTCGTGTTAAGGAAGATATTGGCCATATAGCACCTTCTCGAGGAGCTGAAAAAGAGCGCCGAAGTAGTTTTTGTTGCGCCAACTTTCGTCGACGACTTTCTAATGATTGGTCTTGTCTGTGAAGTTGTTGCGGATAAAGCGAAACTTGGTGAGGACTTGGGTCTTGCGGGAGTGTCACTGTGATTTCTTGACTACTACGATTTTCAGGCTGTTGTTCTCTTTCGAATGATGGTGGACTTAGAGAAGGTGGACGAGTTGATCTCTGTCGGGTTGATCTCTGTCGAGTTGTTCTCTGCGTTGGAAGCTGCCCACTCCAAGTTTCTCCCTCTATTGATTGTGAAGACCAATAGGTATGCTTTTCACTAAAAGTTACAACTTTTGATTTTTTTTTAGCTGATGAAGAAGGCGACACTGCTGCAACAGCTCCTTCAAGCGATGGAGTTGGGGAAAAGTTCCCGATGATCTTCGGACCAAGCGGTGTGAAAATGACTTGTGGTGGTGGAGTTGGTGGTGCGGGTTCTGGAAATACAAGATGTTCATATGTCCTGGAAGGTTTCGTTGGTTCCGTCTTTGAGATGTTTTGATGTTGTTGATGTTGAGTAGAGAGATCAATTTCACGAAGAGAAGCAGAAACATTTACAGCGGGTTGATTTGAGAAAGCAGTGAGCTGCTGCTGTAATTCAGTATCGCGATCATCTCCAGCACGGTCAATGGGTATATTTTGAGATTGCGGTTGTAGTTCCCCAACAGTACCAAGTTCACTTGTTATCTGGCTCTGAGAAAGGACTGGAACCTCACTTGTCACGATGTGTTGTGGAATGTCGATTGTGGCCGTAGCCATAATGTTTGAAGCTATCTGCGGTTCCGCATTTGCAACTACGCTTGTTGTCCCGCGCACTTCCGGAAGTGAATCGTTTACTTCATCTGGGTGTCCACCTTCCGATTCCCGTTCTGCTGCCAGTCTCAGTTGGCTTCTCTTTATGGATAGCATTCTGGATTCAAAACTATGAAGTCGTTTTGTCAGTCCACTTGTAGGATCTACTGTTGATGGGATTATTTGATTCGTACGTGGAATATCACGTGGTGCACTACTAGTCCTTAATATTGATGGACGATTTTCTCCCTGTTCGAGGTTATCATTGTCATCTTCATCATGCGATTGTGATGATGTGGTGGACGAAGATAGCATGGACAATGAACTAAGGACCGGTTGAAATATTCCTTCAAAAGGGTCTGGTAGTGATACATGTTCTTCATGTGATACGTGCTCTTCGTTTGATACATGCTCTTCGTATGATACATGCTCTTCGTGTGATGCATGCTTCTCATGTGATGCATCCTCTTCATGTTCTGTTTGCTCTTCGCATAATGCATGACCAAAGGAAATTGTAGGAGATGCGGGTTTTATATGAAATGTACAGAGATTTATGTTTTCGGGTGCTTCAGTGGAGTTTGGATCTTGGTCAATTGTGGTCGGCTGTAATTCTGTTGTTGTTGCTAAAAGAGTAGATGAGGTAGTTGTTATGGGTGCAATGATTTGTGATTCCATCTGAGTGCTTTGCAATTCAGTTCCGGTATTCTCTGATTTAGTTGCAGCGCTTTCTGGCTCAGTCAAAGGAATTTGTTGTTTATGAGAAGTGGATATCGTAAGAGGCTCGAAGAGTGGTTCATATAAAACGGAAGCGTCTCGCTTCAGAGGTACGTAATTGCAAACGTAAATCTGATCAAGCTCACTGTATTGCACCAATGGTTGTGGCATAGTGAAATATCGTTGACGTACTGGCATTGGAGGGTCAAACTTCGGACTTGGTTCTCCAGATAAATATCGTCTTAAATGTGCGGATGCTACTGCTGCTCTCTTCCCTGCAAAATTTGTAAAATAACTAATGAGCAAAGAAAACGTAACAAATCTCAGTTTAGTTAATTTTTCCCTTTTTGAACGAATTGGAATTGTCCCCAGTTGCTCAAATAAGGGATAATATAACATGGAGAAATGCTGACATATAACCCGCTGCTTACAAGCATTCGAATAATGATTATCCCTAATCACTAGTTGTATGTGTAATAATATCATTTGCACATAAGAGATTTCTCCAAATTTTAGAGAACAGTATAAGATTGAAAGACTCATTTGAAAATGATGGAAAGAAGAAAGCGAGAGAGATTTGGAAAGTTGTCAGAGGAGAGAAGGAATGAATTTAAAGTACATTTTGCGGTAATCACCATGCCACTTTCTTACTCCTTCCAGAAACTCCAGTTCCTGCACTTCATCAGGACCAAGACCTGCCATCCAAGCATCTAAATTATCTCGCAATAAATTTACCACTACATGAATATCTGGATCATCTCTAATATGTTCTTTACCTTCGGTCACTGCCTGAAATTGTCTTTTGGTAATACCACTTCTCACTGCTGTTTGATAGTTTTCCAAATTTTTAGAAGATGAAACCAGAAGTTACCACAAATGACCAATTTATAATAGTGAGTGGGTACTTATAACAAGCATTTCAGCATTTTGTTTTAAGTAAATTGAAATGAAAGCGTACTTGCATTGATAACTGTAAAGCTTTGATACGTTCACATGGTATCGCGTAGTAATGTATAGACATGTTAAGCATCAAAGCTAAACGTAATGGATGGTATCTTTTGAGCTTCTTATCTGCCAATTCAAGTGCTATCTGATAACAATCCTCGGCGCGCTTACGTACACCTAAAAGCAAGCTTCGATAGGAAATAGTAACGATCCACAGATGTGGTAAATTTAACAAATGCTCATATAACAAGAAATGAAAGTGCATGTATTTAAGCATAGCATATCTTATGCCAATTTTCAAATTTATTAATAATGAAGACTTAAAGTTCACAGAAATCGTTATTAATAAATTTTATAATTGAAATATCTGATGAATCGGAAAAGTTCAGTTATTCATTATTTTATTAAAACATTTCATCCATCAAGTAATAGCGAATATATGATGAAAAAGAAAAAATTGAAATTTAATGAAAGATTTACCAAAAAATTGATCTTCACTTACAACACCTGACCAGTATCTATAATAATCAGCACGAAGTTTCATGAAGTAAATTTTTAGTTCGATATTTTTTGTATCCACTATGCCATGATCGATCAAGTCCTACAAATAAATATTTTAGGCTTTATGAATTGTCATACCAGAATGTCTATTTGTTATTAAATTCAATTTGCTATTACCTTAAGCAATGCCAGAAACAACTGTTTGATTTCAAAAGCAGATTTCTGATCCTCTTTTGGACAAAATATTTGATAAAATTTTTAACAATGATTATCTCCAAATTCGAATCGTTCTAAAAGCTGAGTACTTTCTAGATAAATTCAACACTAAATTCTTTACGGTTGCACATATGATTATTTAACAGCTAATGGACGATGGACGAATAAGTTAAAGTTGACATGAATAAATAAGTTGACATCAATAAAACTAAGGAAATCGATTGTTTTTTACCAAACAAAACGTCTCCAGCAGTTTGATATTCAACAAAAAAAATGAAAACTCGAAGTTGCGTGTTCAAAGAAGTAACAGAATTTTCAGATAACTTTAGAAGTCTCACCTGCCCTGAGAAATCCTAGAAAAGCGTTTGAACAGTTCCAAGCATCAGTGTGATAACCTTCATGGAATATGCTTACATTATTTTACACCCCCTACAGATAGTTCTAAAATGAACCACAACTTACGATTACTTCTTTGCAAATAGTGACCACTTCATAACGTGCTCGGTACATGTTGTCACGTAAAATGCGTTGCTTAAGAATTTCTTTTCGTGGTATTTCTCTTTGCAAATCCATATACATGTCATATTCTCTGCGAAATTTGTTCACTAAGCTCTAAATATAATTGTTTCTTCTTTCAATAGCATTGTAAAATAAAAATTTAGCCAGCAAGGATTAAAATTAACGGACAGATTTGAACTTTAATGACGAAAAAGTCCTAGCTACTCTCTCTCTCTCTCTCTCTCTCTCTGATACTAAAAATTTGAAGGTCTTCATAGAGATCATTATGGAGTCAAATTGTAAAGTTAATTTTAAGCATCATTCATGTGTAACCTTCAGAAAAAAGAAAATGCCTTATAAGTTTAGACGTGATTTCAAAATTTATGAATCAAGTTCTACAAACCTTGTAGAAGACTGCAAACAAATTCCTTTCCTCTTTGGTTAACTCTTTACCGTAATTTTCAATCAATATTTGGATATTCTCTCTTGCATCATCAAACAGTGATAGCTGCGAAAACGCAGGGTAAAATAATTGTACATTTTCACAGGTTATACCAGAAAATAAGTAAAAGATATAAAAAATTCCTATGACTCCATCAGGATGAAAAGTATGATACTATCATTCAGTCCTTACAAATCTTTCATTAAAAAACAATCCAAAATGTTAACAATCAATAGATCAATCTTTTTGATTTGCGACTTAACAGTAGTTACATAATTAATTTAAGTCATAAATCATGGTATCGCATAAATCTCCGAGTTAGAATTATCAATTTTGAGATAATAACTTATGAAAGAATCTTTAGTCTCTTCGCCTTTAATCGATAACTATGATTTATTTATTCATTTATTTTCCACCTCATAGGCATACTGTTTATTACTATATAGCTTACTGCAATACTATTTTACTATTTCGTGCTGCTTTCCTGATGGTCGGTACTAAGGAAAGGAAACTTCATAATGATTGATCGGCAACAAAAGAAATATACAATGAAGCTGGAATTATTACCGCATTGGCGATCCTTATGCGGAATATTAAATCATTACGATCAACAACTTCCACTTCCTCATCCATTACAACCACTTTCTTCACTCACTGTATCAAACAACGCTAATTAATTACAATTCAGAATTCACAGACAGTAAAATCGCAGTAATAATTGAATTCGCTTTAATCAACGTTATTTTGATTTTATCTATTAGCAAAGTAGTTTTAAATAAAATAGAAAAATATATAAATAATCGATAAAAGTTATGAAGAGAGCTTCGATGGAAAAAGTTGCCTTATTATCCTAAATATGATGATAATCATTATATTTCTCTCTCTAATTAACTCACTAAATCATTTAATAACTTATTCAGCATCCATCTATTATTTAGTTCGTACAATGCTAGCAACGATGATACGAGCAAAGGTAAATATACTACATAACTCGAGAAAAAAGAAATATAATTCGTAAGTAATCAAGCACAGAATATACCTTTCAATCCTGTTATACACTATATGATATTACGATTATGAATCTTTTATGAACATACCCGAAAATTATCGGTTAAGACTAATTCCCCGCTCATAGAAGATGGCGGTAAAAAATGGCGGTGCAGTGATAAGAGTAGATTAATCTCATGTTTACAATAGCTAAATTATATTCGACCAGCTACAAATTTTAACTTTGTCTGGCTCTCGATGATCAGATCACATTCCGACAAAATTTTCTGCGCGATACGCTGTCGATAGTTAATAGTAGTGGATCACGATATTTTCCCTATATATCAAAATGACAGTAACACAAGCCATTCCAATTCGAATTCCACTCTTTTAAATGGCAATGAAATGATTTTCTCAATTCTCAGCATTTTATAATCGGCCAATATTTTTGAAATTTCTTTTAAATTTTTGAGCGCTCTTCTCTCCCTTTCAATAAGAATAATCCATTTTGACTGGAATCATTCTGATTATTTTTCTTCTTACGATAGCATTGATAATCGATGTGACAGATATGTCAAATTGGTCATCAACTTGACCTTTCACAATATTCATCCCTTCTCTTTAACGAATACCGACGATGCTAATTAGACAAAAAGAGGGAAAGAGGAGGGATATATCCATTTTAAAACATTGGGCGAATTTCCATGGGCCCTGTGGCCTAATGGATAAGGCGTCGCCCTCCGGAGGCGAAGATTGCAGGTTCGAGTCCTGCCAGGGTCGGAGTTTTGCTGCTTGCATGAAGCAATTAATAAAGCAACAAAACGCATTCATTCAATGAGGCAGATTCAATTGCTCGTTCACCTTTCAGTTCGGAATCAGAATGCCACACAGACAGGAATGGAGTAATTATCGATAAGTTTACGTTGAAGGGTTACGGAAATCTGTGTGGATCAGTAAAACTGTGAAGCGAGTGGTCACAATACCCTTTGTGAGATACTATTCCATAAGTGTGAGGGAGAATCACTTTCCGGCACATAGACTGATGTTTCTCGTCCTGCTTCTTCCAAACATTCTTTGGGACGGGACAGATTCTGGAAAGAGTTTGCAAAAGTCTCAGAGTCTTTGTGATCAATGCTATATGCACATGAAGTAAGAGTGAAGGGGAAATCAGAAGTGAGATATCTCACGATATTTCGGATGTTGTGAAATAATCAAGATCTATAGTGAGGTAATGAGTACGTGAATACAACAATGGATTTATCTTGAATAGCAAATTGTCTTCGAAAATTATGATCTATCCTTTTTTTATTTATCAAAATCTCATTACTATGATTTTCGTGTGGTGAAATCGAAAAGATTTATAATAAGCTAAACTCGGCTCTAAGAGGAGATTATGAAGCAAATTTTGGAGAAGAAAGAAGAGGAATGAATGACATTAAATTGACAAGTAAAACAACAATGCTAATCAGTTGTGAAGAAACAAGCTAATTGATTGGATGGTAGATTTGAATTACACTCAGTACAAAACCTAAAACGAGATTGACTCTCTCCTGATTAATGCGCAGAATTTTGTGTGGAAGTGAATGAAAGGGAGATGAACAACGGACTGGATTCATCACGACTCTGGGGGACATTGAAGATAAAAAATAAAATCCTCTTTCGATGCGAGAAGTGCCAAACATTCTCAGTTGGAACGCTTGAATTCAAATAAGAGTGTCGAACAGTAAGAGTGTCCACTTCAAGTTGGTCAGAAGAAAGCTTGAGATAGGATTCTGAGGAATGACTCAAGTCGGGCTGAAAAAGTTAAGCGAGAAAATCAAAGATCTGTCCCAACTTGAATTTGAATTAGAAAAGCATTACCATCTACCTATTTTCATATATTCATAAACTATTTTTGGGATTGTTATCAGTTGTTTCACAAAGTGACTTGATAAGTAAAAACTGAAGAAATGACTGCTGACCACACCTTGACTTGTAACTGACTTTCGGGACAAGCAAGAGGATGTCATCTCAATCATCGAATTCCTTTTGCCTGCGAAATATCCGATAGTCCGAAAATATCGCAATGAAATGATTGTTTAGGAATTAAGCTCTCTTTGAAATGTTCGACGATATTTTCCGCTATGACAAGCGACGGCCAATCAAATAATAGTAAGCCTTTTTCACACATTTTGCATTTGAAATTTCATTCTCCATAACTACTTCTAAATTAAAAAGTTCAAACCGAATTAGCAAAAACAAAATTTTCCTGTTTGACTAGCATAAAATCCAAAGTTGACACTAACAAGAAAAACACTTTTCTAAAGGATTTACAAACGTCAATAGCTTCTTCATTGCTTGTTTGGTTTTATTGCACAAACCAGTAGACTACAGATAAAGGCTTTTTGTTTCCTTGAATGAGTGAATATACCTGAAATACCGTAGTAATATGACGACACAGCGTCCTGCGTTGCCATGAAAGCCAGCATTTAAAATGAGATCTGAAGTGAGCAGTATCAATTTGAATGACTTAAAACGAAACATACTTCAGTTTAAACGTGATAAATACTGTAAATGATGTGATGAAGAACTGATTCCAAGTCGAATGAGTTATATTCTGAACTGATTTCAAATTATTTTTGGATGAGATTTGTCGATTGAATGCATGTAAAGATATTCATACTTCTGGTCAAAGGGAAGAAGAGTTTCACAAGTCATAAATGTTTGCTTGTCCTGATATCAACAATTGTCGCACAGCTTACATCTTCAGTATTGTCGCTAGTACTTTTCACTTTTCCACTTCGATTAACAACAACAAAACTTCAACAAATACAAATGTAAGTTAAAGAAGTAGGAGGAAAACTTCATTGGATTGAAACAAATACAATCAATGTATTGTTGAAAAAACGTTTTCTTTTTATTCGAATTGTTTTCATAAATGAAAACATTCATTGGAAAAATTAATTTTGCATTTTATTCGAGAAAGACTATGAATTACAAAAAAAGTTATCATCTTTTTTCTTTATCAACAATAGCAGCCAACTATTCATTTCCATTATTATAGGAATCATAGTGAGTATGTTATGCCATTACTTTCCTAAAAAAAAAATGAAATTGGATGACATTCTAGAAAGAAATAAGTGAAATCTAATAGTACATTGGATAGAAAGATCTCTATTTTGTAGAGAGATCGAACTGAACTTGACCAATAACGTAAGTCTCCGCGGACAAGAAAATCACAAGTTTTATTCCGATACTTATGAAACGAACGTGATGGCAAAAAATTTTTTGACGTAATTTTAATTACGTAGTGATTGAAAGTCCGACGTTTTTTCTCATACTTTTATTTTCATTTCTGAAGTTAATGCTTTTCAATAAACTTATCAGCACAATTGATCCTTTGATTCGTGCAAGAACATTGACTCATACATTACATTAGTGGTACATTAGCGCCACGTCGTTGTACTGGTAGTGATATCTTAAAGAGCGACGAAGTAAAGTAAACGATTTGAATATTTATTCCTTTCTCTGTCTTTTTTTCCAAACGCTTACAATGACATCACTCATCACAATTTGCGCTTCCCATCTTCTCTCGAACTCCTAACATTAGAAGTGATTTCTGATGGTCAGTGATATAACGGGAATTCTTTGTCTTTTATTTCCGTTTGTTAGACTTGGTGTAATTTAGAACTTTGTCAGTTCTAGCCAATATATATATATATGATATGCATGCGAAGATCTTAAAATTAACTTTCAACCCGAGCAACTTCCCGGATTGTCTCCCTTCCTTCTTAATTTGCTACCGGTTCATCTGATTAGTACACACCAATTTACGGTTAATATCATTCCATCTACCTTTCCAAAACACTTTAAGCTTACCATTATTTTACGAGATATTACAGGACAGTAATGAAATTAAGTTCTTACACCATCAAAGATATTTTGATTGGATATTAGCATTAAAAGTATTCAGGAACAAATATCGTCTGCGATAATTGCTGCTATTATCAAGGATGCGCAAAACTGATATTGTTAATAGGGAAACAGTTGCTTATCGTTAAGA